GAAGATGAGATCTGGGCTGGGTTTTCAAGAGGAAGGAGGAAGAGGAGGAGGGTGAAGAGGAAAAAGAGAAAATAGCGTACAAGATTGGAGCAGGAGCTCGTATCAAAATATCGATTTTGGCAAGATTTAGAATCTTATTAGAATAAATTCGACTGCTTGAAACATTACTTATTAACAAGATTTAAGATATAGAGATATTATCTTAAAAAAACTCGCTCAAACAAACGAGAATTACTAAATGAAACTTGATTATAAATGAAAATTGATTAAAACTTAGTGCATGTAACGGACGGAACATGGGGGTTATTTATAGGCAAAATCCAATCGAGGTAATAAATGAAAAGCAAAATGGAGTTGAGAGTTAGCCATTTTCCTGGTGCTTTCTCCCGCTGCAAAGATTGTGTGCTGGTAGGTTGGATAATTCGCGGGAAAAAAAAAAAAAAAGCATGAAGTTCTAGAGGTTAAAGATAAGGATAAAATGGTCATTTTCTTTTGTTTTATTTTATTGGTTAAAAATATTTTTATTTTGTTTTTAAATGCTAACATGGCTATTTTAATTTAAAAGGGTCTAAAATGTACACATAAGTAATAGTTAACGGATTAATTAATGTATAATTGTTCATCTTATCAAAAATTTAAGAAAGGACAAAAAATCAAATTTAAAAATTTTAGAGATAAGATTAAGAAAATTTTAAATTAAAAAATTAATTCAAAGTATGTATAATAATTGAAAGATCAAAAGAGATAATTGAAAGATTAAAAGAGTGTTTAACCTTTCTTAAAAAATTTTTGTGTACGGAAATGTTTATTTAATATGGACTGTCGCTATACTTTCTAAAAAAAAAAAATATGGACTGTCGCTATATATACTCATGGGCTACAAACTTTTTTTTTGAACTTCGGCGGAATTGAGGTAAAGGGGAAGAGAATTAAGGGACAAGAGATATTAAATTCTGGTTGTGTGATTGAAATACGGGTCACTACTAGGGTTTTATGGGCTACAAGCTTTAATTTCATCCCAAAGCAAAGTTCCTATAGCCATTGCTTGAAATCATGGGGTTTCATTTCGGATCCATAGTTGCTTTTACTCTATGTCAGCTAACATTGTAAATTAATTATCTCTACTTTTGTGTTGTTTTTCTTTTCTTTTCTTTCTTTCTTCTTCTTCTTTTTTATTTTATTTTTATTTTTTTTTTTATATATGTAAAACAAGCAAATGGCACTTAATATTGATTAATTTACATTTTTGGCAGCTTGGTGTTGTGGGAAGCTGTCATGCTTCTATGCCGGCCGAACTTCACTGGAAATCTGTGTTCCCAAATCCCAAACACTCCAATGCTTTACGAGATCTTTCACGTCCTGGTTTGCTCTTGCCCTAGTTGAAACTACTGAAGAAATGCAGTTTAAATAAGAGCCTCTTTTAAAAGTCATAAAATCCTCTTTCGCCGTTCTAATTCTATTTCCCTGAATATGCAGGAGCTATTCCTCCAAAGAATACGAGGCTGTCTTTCATGGTTTTTTTGCGTCTGCGGGGGATAAAATGGTCCATTGGAGTTGAAAAAGAAAATGCAGGGTCCAATCACGTGTGCATGGAGAAACCCAGACAATGGTCTCTTTAGCTAAAAAATGGCAAATTGGCACAGATCTCAGTTTAACTTTCAGGATCTGAAATGCAAAATGTCTGGGGTTCTGAGTTGATGTATTTTTGTGACAAACAACTGTCACCTTAACTTTGATGCCATCAGAACCAATCAAGGGAATCATGGAGGGCACAAGAATTATGGATTGAAAAGTGGAAGTCACCTAGGACTCTAA